GTCATGCTTAGTAATGTGCACCCGGGCCAATAGGGGTTAAAGTATCGCATATTTGTCTAGGACGAGAATTGTATTTGGTCTTATCTGAGCAAGTATACACAGCATCTGTGACATTTTAGACATCTATCTATTAGCCAAAGCATGAGTGTAGCCAAATCATAGGGTTCCATGTTGGCTAAAGCAGGGAGCACAAGCTTATTTGGATTTGGATAAACTTTCTCCTCTGGGATACTGTTCAGTGGTTTGTATGATAGTAACAACATTGTTCATGTCTTCAGCTCAGATATCATTTTTATTATCATCACTTGATAATGAGTCGATTAGGCTCTGTTTTACCTCTTCCCAAAATCGACACAGCTTTGATTGTATCAGCCATTTATTTTGTTCCAGAGAAGGATGTTAGATAGTCAGCTCTGCATTTGAATGGCTACAGAAGTAACAAAATGTTTGGTTAACTGGTTATCTCTGTGTACAAGAGGGATAAAGTGCATGTTGTGGCCTTTTTACAAAGTTACATTCAAAATTTAATTAAATTATTTTATATCAGATGTTTCTAAACTTAGCATCTAAACAGTTATAATTAGAGAACTTATTTAAGTAAGCCTAATAATTACTGTTCATAACTTGATTAAAGAAATTAAATTTACATCAGAGCAGTAGTGATCATTAAACTGAAAAAAATGCAAAATAGTAGTTCAAGCAAATTTGTTGAACTACAGTTTTGCACTTTCTCAATTTAATGATCATTGCCACTATAACGCAAACTTAATTTCTTTAACCAAGTTATGAGCGATAATTATTAGGCTTACTTAAATAAGTTCTCTAATTATAACTGATGCCAAATTTGCTTGAACTACTATTTTGTAAGTGCGGGCCATAGACCCATGGGTAAACTAGTATTTGAAATAAACATGAATAATTCTGGGGACAAGCAACATAATCACAAAAAAGTAGGTTTAGTTTTTTATCCTCAATGCCAGAAGATCTGAATCTAGAAATAACTACGAGATGTTTTGTTTTTTATGTATATTTTTGATTTGATTTTATAAAAATAACTATAATGTAAAAACTTGTTTGGTTTGTTCATAAAACTTAAGTGACAAAAATTAAAACATTGGTCATTATACTCGATAAACAAGCATGCATTCATGGCTGTCCCACTGTGGTAACTGGTTTTAGCATACAGTCTGAATACAGCTGTAAAGCAGTAAACCTAAATGAAACCAGATGTGAAAAGCCTAGGCTGTAAGAATATATAGGTATAACTATCTGATACAATATGCAGTCATTCTAGAAAGAAAGAAAATTTAGGTTGATTTCGTGGACTTCAAATTTTCATTTTACCCTAAATTGCTGATTTTGCTAGTTAGAGTAGAGAAAATAAATAAAACAACAAAAAACTTTTGATATTCATTAAAGAGGTTATGCAAAATAAGAAAAGTAAAAACATAAAAATCACAATTCACTCAGACCGACTTGGTAAATGCTTTATTGAAAAATCTCATTTTTTTATGTACAGAAGACTTGTGTTTACTGAAAGCTTACCAAATTTCATGAAGATAGACATAATAAATTTGAATTAGTAAACATTGCTATCCTGATGTTTCAAATAAACAGACCTGGTGCAAATCGCCACTGCTATACAAATACGGCACAGAAAACCCGTTTTTCTCTTATCAAGTCTACTTGTGCACTTCCAAAATCATCTTCTTGACACAGTAAACAAAGAGTCCTACCACAGTTAGAAGTTACATAAGAAGTAATACACCATTAATTTTGTTCACTAACTTGCCGAATGCCTCATTATAGCAAAAAAGATTGTAAGAATGCAACTTGAGACATGGTTGTTCAGGTGTGATTGCAAGCAGGAATAATGACAAAATGCATCTGTACTAGTGAGGCATAAAATATCTTTATCATTTATACAATTCATTTGCTTGTCATACTTTTTGTTTTTGATCTTTTGTTAGGTCATTGTGTAATCATGAATCAGACTTGGTTTGTTTTACAAGGGACAGTGTATGTTATCCAGTTTGTAGATGTCTTATTTGTCCCGGTCACTAACATTGTTAGAACTTTCCATTCCTCTAAGGTATGATGGAAAGATATATTCTGCTCCTTTTATTTTTACCTTTTCTGATTTATAGGCAGAATTGGCAAAAGAAATGTTAAAGAATATCATTCAAGTTGGAACTGATTGGATATATGAAATGGAACTTTCTGATCACTAAGATCAAAAAATTTAAGATAGTGTTTTAAATATTTTTTTCAAAACAATGTCTCACAAACAAAAGTTTGAAATTTCACAATGTAACAAATGTTAGAAAATAAAATTATGTGATATTTTTTCAAAGCTGAAAACAGATACTACTTATGAAGTTTGTACTAAGTTTCATGTAATTTGTTTAAATCTGTTTACCAGGAAAAGGAAAAAATCAAGGGATTTCAGTGGCACACCTCTGGTCCAGAAAGGATTAAAAATTACAATTCAGTTTAAGTTTGTTTTTTTACCTTGCATTTTCCAGAGAGTTATAGAAGAATATTGGTTTTTATGTCAAGATTAGCCAGTGGTTAACTTTGAAATTTCATTTATTTAATGGGTTTATTTATTTCTAGGTTGTCTGTACCCAGTTAATGTATCTAATTAACAACACTCCTAAACCTGATGTCTCCGTGGAGATCAAGTTTGAATGTGATGAATCCAAGTTTGAAAAAAATATAGAAGAGCTATGTGGATCTTTGTGCACATCTGCAACAGTATTGTCAAAACTTGAGGACAATCCACCTCACCAGCAAACCTCCCCCATCCACTCAGTGTCATCACTTGATAACGAGGGGTTTGTCTTACCCCATGGTGTTCTTAGTGATAAAACCTCAGTGCCTTCAACTCTGGATGTAGACTTGGGCAATAATGTTGCCCAGTACAACCTAGCCCAGTTGGCAGGCATGGCTGAACACAGTTCTTCTCACGAGTCTCTTAATCCAACCCCTTCACCTCCAACTCTGTACGATCTTCTACAGATATCCACCAGTGGACCAGATTCAGTAGCAGCTGCACAAATGAATGCCCTGAACAACCTGTCAGCTTTGGCCAAACTAGGCTCAGTGTCAATGAATAATTCTGGTATTCTTTGTTACTTAATTTTTTAATATTGAAGATATTGAATACAAATAAGAATACTTAAAACTTTCCCAAATGTTAATTTAAAACATTATGATATCCGTGTAAATCATTTTAAGATAATGTTCTTAATTTTCTTATGATTAGAAAGTTTTTCAGACTTCACTATGAATGAGTCAGGCTGACAATGAATGGTATATAAAAGCTAGAAGCAAGATTTTTCAGTGAACCTAATGCATAGTTCCAATTTTCACTATTTTGAGATAATTCAATATATTTGCTTTGAGTAAAAGCATTCTTTAGCAATGGCTAAGTATATCGTGTATTGAAAACATTGTTTGATAGTCTCAGTTGTTTCCTGAACAGATACAAAATGATAGTTGTTTTAATCAATGAAATATGTTTTTAAGTGTCCAGTAAGGGCTGTATTAACATTTCTAAGTTGAAAGCTTAATCACTATTCCTTCTTGCTATTTTTTCACAAATAACCAAAGACTGTCCTGTTGTGAGGTAAAAACTTTCAAGTTTTAAGAATAGTATTTTCATCGATAAAAAATAAAGTAATTTGGAAAGCTAAGGAAACACTTTTTACATCTGGTGCATATTTCTGCAACATGGAGCATTCTGTGGTTGTTTTTAAGTAAAGAAAAAAAAGAACATATAATTTCATAACAAAACATGTTTTACAAATATCTGTAGCATCTGACATGATAACCAAAAGTTTTAAAAGCACTGCTTCCACATTAGGAAGCAAAGGAGCTTTATGAGAAATAAATTGATAAAGATTTCAGTTTGCATAATTATTCATCTTTTTTCTTTTCTTTTTTTCAAATTTAGAAACTTGGCAATTATGAACACAAATGGCAATAAATTGATTTTTTTTCTCTTTTTTTTTTGAACAAACTTAAATTTCACTGTTTTAAACCATTAAAACAAGAAATAACCAACAAAGAGTACATATTTGCAACTTTTCATCATATGATGATAAACTATCTGGACAGGTGGGAAGATTAAGTATTTATGTACCAAAAAATAATTCCAGTGGGAGGACACACAAATCCAAATTGAAGTTGGAAGATTTTTTTATTTACTTTATCCAAAACAAATTTTAATGTAATATAAATCAGAACAAAATTATATATGTGAACAGTTAAAGTTTTATTTTGTAGGTAGTTTGAGGGTTGAGATAAGACAGAAGATTTTAAAAATTGATGTAATTTTCCCTTGAGAAAAACATGGTATGCCAGGCTGGAAAGAGTTAGATGAACTCAAACTTACTAGTACATTCCATAATTCAGTGTAATAAAGAAAGTGGAAATGACTAGGAATTTGAATAAATCACTTTGAGCAAGGCATTCGTAAACTGTGAATGTGATATTTATAAATATTGTGTGTGACATAAACACCTGTGTAACCCATCGCTGAGTATTTGAATATGCATGGTAGATTGTGTATTTGAAAATGGTGCCACTGTATATCCTCAAAAGAACTCTGAAACTAGCCAAGAATTTTAGCTTTTTCTATTGTAGCTTTTTAGAGAAGTTAGAGCATAGAATTGCCTGTAAAATAACATATTTCCCATAACAAAACAAGGAAGAGGTGCTAAAAGATGTTTGTTTATATAATTAGAACTGGTGTTTTTATGTTCATGATTATTGTCCACCCACATGAAAACAAGCTGAGCACTTAACTGCATGGTGGTTTATTGCTTCTGGAAGCTGCATAAACCGGTTAAAAAAAGAACAAGAAAAGTTGAGATACTTTTTATTTGTAATTTTTTAGTGCTGTTTTTCAGGAAACAATGGAATGTCAAATTACCTTATTCAGTTTGCCTGATACTGTTACATTATATATCTATCTAATATCAGTTGGCTCATAAGTGTACATTATACTTACACAAATTTCATGATCAAAAATTGTCATTTTTACAAATTGAATCTTCATCAACTATTCTCAAAATGTCTGTGTAGGTACGTATGATCTTTGTCTGAAGACTGGCTTATATCATTAGAAAGCCCTCGTAATGTTTTAGTTTTCATTTTTAGATATCTTTAATGATTGAAAAAAATATTTAAGTTACTGTCTGAACATGGCTGCATTAGCTACCAATACTTTAAAGTAAGAGTTAAAGAAATGGTTCAAGTATGATTATTTTATAAAAGCACTAATAGCTGTGCAGAATGGATGATGCAGGATCATTTTCATGTATTCTAGACAAAAATTAGACATGAATATTTATAATAGAATTCTAGCAAAAAATGTGTGTGTGTGTGTGTAACATTTTATTTAATTCTTATTTTTGATAAATATTGAAAATGTATTGAAAACTAAATATACTCATTGGAATTTTATCATGTAAAAATTGTAAGATTCAGTATATAATATAACCAGCTGTAAAAGGAATGTGAATTGTGATGTAGAAGATTGATATTTTTATGTGAACTTGATTTATTTTGGTAGAAATGTTTTTTTGGCTTTTATATACATAGGACTATAATCTTTACCTGTGTTTCCACAGGTCAAGTGCTTTTAGGTAGACAAATGATTCCAAGCATGGGTCCTGATTCTCCTAGTATGTCCCATTCTACTACATCCCAGCCTCACTCCCAAGGGCTAAGATCTTTACAACCATCTCCATTGGACACAGATTTGGGAAGTCTTTTGAATGGTGGAACCTCACCTCTTCCTTTACAGTCGACCAGAGGAAGTAGCCCTCATTTTGGATCACCTCTTATGAATGGTGTATCAGCTATCAGTGCTAACCTGAACTTGGGTGTGCCAAGTTCTTTCACTTCAGGAAATGGTTAGTAATAGTTTATATTGTATTATCTTTCTTTCTTTCTCTTGTGAAAAATATATTAGAACCATAGATTTATGAGATTAATACCAAATCTAATACAGAATTCATTGTGTCTTTACAAGAGTTAAAGAACTTGGATACTTTGTTTTATCATATTTTCTGAGATTCAGCCACTACAAATATTTTCTGAAAAAAAAAAAAGTAAATCTCAAGCATATTCTACAGGCTTTGTTTTTTTATTAAAAATATTTCACAATCTGAACTGTGTGCATATTGCTTTTTATTACTCCACTAGTTGGTTGTTTTGGGCATTATAAGACCTCGCAATCTTTTATTATTTATTTAGTATTTTACAAGTTACAATATTTTTATGTGATGTTCCACAATTATCCTGCTTATGTTTCTACTTCCAGTTATGCCACCAGTGACAGGTGGTCAAGGAAGCTATAACCCTCCGCCACGAAGTGCCACTACCAAACTAAACACAATGCAGATAAGGTACAACTTGTTCATGTCATGAAGTAGTGTTTTTATTATTTTTAGCTTCTTTATAGTGAACTAACTAAACCATTTTCATAGCATTCATTTTGACTTCACTTGTAATCTAACATTGAGTGAATTATTAAATTTACGTCTTTCATTTAAATTTTCTATTCGACTTAAGCCTCTGATTTGATTAACTTTCAAGTTTAGCTTATTGATGGTACTAAGTTTTTAATCTGGATTCTGTGAAATACTGTCATATAAAGTATTATGCTGTTCCTTTTCTAAGTGTTTTATTTTGTCTATGGAAGTGTAAATTTGGCCAGCTTTATACTGTCATATAAAGTATTATGCTGTTCCTTTTCTAAGTGTTTTATTTTGTCTATTGGGGTGTAAATTTGGCCAGCTTTATACTGTCATATAAAGTATTATGCTGTTCCTTTTCTAAGTGTTTTATTTTGTCTATGAAGGTGTAAGTTTGGCCAGCTTGGGCCAGGAAGAGGGCAATTTAGTTCACCCCATGGTTTTTGCTTGGGTTTGGAAGAAGAAATTATTGTGGCTGACACCAATAACCACAGAATCCAGGTTTTTGATAAAATGGGTGAGTTCAAGTACCAGTTTGGTTTTCCTGGAAAGGAAGAAGGGCAGCTGTGGTATCCTCGAAAGGTATTTTTATTTTTCTGTTGACTAAAGTAATTTAATTAAAGAATAACTCATAACAATGAACCAGAAAGCCTTTAATGTTTCTAATAAACTATGATATGTTTATGTAAAACAAGCCTCAGTATTACTTTCAGTCCTGTGGTATTTATGAACAAAGAACTTCATATTTAGATGGAATTTTAAAGAAAAACGCTTTTGAGATAACTTTCTTGAGTTTGTAAAAAGTAATTTTTGTCAAAAACAGGACAACATATTGCAGTGTTTAAAAAAAATATATATACAGTAAAGATAGGAGAAAACTAATAGCCCAAAATGTGTAAAACCAATTTATTTCACTGGAAATAAAAGTAAAATATACTAATTTGGAGGCATTTAAACAATTGTAAACTTTGGTTTGTGGTAGGTTGCTGTTATTCGACAATCTGGCAAGTTTGTTATTTGCGACCGAGGAAATGAGCGATCCCGCATGCAACTTTTCACGAAGAATGGACATTTTATCAAGAAGATTGCTATCAGGTATATTGACATTGTTGCAGGATTAGCCATCACTGGAGAAGGACACATTGTGGCTGTGGATAGTGTCTCTCCCACAGTTTTCGTTATTGCAGAGAATGGGGACTTACTTCGCTGGTTTGACTGCAGTGAGTACATGCGAGAGCCTTCAGACATAGCCATCAGTGGGAAAGAGTATTACATCTGCGATTTTAAAGGACATTGTGTTGTTGTTTTTAATGAAAATGGACAGCACATGAGACGTATAGGCTGTGAAAATATCACCAATTTTCCCAATGGAATTGATATAAGTGATGCTGGTGATGTATTGGTTGGAGATAGCCATGGGAATCGATTTCACGTTGTTGTCTTTTCGAGTGAGGGTTCACTCCTGTCTGAGTTTGAGTGTCCATACGTTAAGGTCAGTCGATGCTGTGGCCTGAAGATTACATCCGAAGGTTATGTTGTCACTCTGGCCAAAAACAATCACCATGTCTTGATCTTGAACACCTTGTATATCATGTGAACAAGTAGCTCTCATGAATGTACATGTTTTATGAAGATGTTCACTGTAGGTGTGTGGCATCATAATGATTATATCTAATCTCTCAATATCAGAAAGTAATGTTTATTAGTTGCCTTTGAATTGTGAGCCATACGACATGTCATCTATATGTAAGAGAATGTAATTTCCTAGTAGTTCGTAGTTGCAGGGCTGTGGGAGTTTTTTAATGAACAAGAAAAAAAAAAGATGAACTCCTCATCTTCTAGTAGCCAAAGAAATTCTTGATGTTATAAAAAAAAAGAAAAAAAAGACAATGAATGAGATGTAGGTCATTCCGTTCAGTAGGAAGCCTGTGATATTAACCCTAGTAAAATTGTTAGCTTGCTCAGAACTATACACACATATATATATATATACATATATATCTATACACGTATATTTTTGTTGATTTGATCTCGCCCTATCTTCAGCTGTTAGTATTGACTTCAGCTGTTCCTTATAAAGAGCTTGTGTATCAGGGGCCTCAGTACAAACAATATCAAGTTTTGGAAACTATCCTTCATGACATAAAAACTATATACAAGTTTGAGAGTTTAAAAGTTATATTAAATATTCTTTTATTGTGTGGAAGCTGTGACTGATCTGTTGACCAAGATTTATTTATAAAACTACTTAAAATTTGAAGTTACCAAACATTTGTTAAGCAGGTAAAAAAGTTATAAGTACTTAAAGTAATTTAGCTTTTATTAAACCTTATATATATTGGGAAAAGCTGATAATGCTCCATATTGAGCTCTTGTTTTACAAAATTTTGTATGGAAAAATTTGGTTGGCTACAATTTACTTGCTCTAAGTTTTTTCTTCACTTTTCGTAACCTCATAATAAGTGTATGTTTTCTTCCTGTTGTAGTTTTGATGTTCTTCAATTTTAAATATAGTGTTACAGTTACTTAGAGAAATGCCTTATGCTATATTCACTTGATTAGTTGTGTTTGCAAACTAGAATATATTATATATATATATATATATATATATACATACAAGTAATTAAAATTTATTCAGTCCATACTATTTCACTTATTTTAATTTTTTGTGTCAGTTTAATGAGGGATTTAACCAATTATTTAGATGTCTGTAGGTGCCATGTATAGTTCAGATCACACTGACATGTTGTTACTGTGATACTGTCTTGTCTTTGTGAAGCTTGCACCAGAAACTGAGATTCGTAATGAATGTGAAAACATATTACAACTCTAATGAGAATTGTTATCCAACTAGATGTTTTAAGTATCCAAGAAACTAGGGAAGAATCTGTACAGTTGTCTGATGCACACATGCTTTTTAATAGTTCATGAGAGCAAAATGGGAAAAAGTCAACTATTACCATATCACTTTTTGAAGTTTATAGTAATATTTTCAAGTATATTAACGATTTATGAAATGTAAGTTTCACTCTGTTTTGCTGTTTGCAAGTCTGATTTTGAAATCTGTATCTCGCCATTATTTGTTGTGCTAGGTGTTTATTTGGTATTATTCTTTTATTATTTTAATACATTTTTCATATACAATTATATTTAATGATATTTTTGTCTTTTTTTTTTTTTCAGCAATCATCTTTTTTTGATTGTTTAGTTTGGCTGAGCGATTGGTTAAACTATACATATATAGGTTTCGTTGTTTATAAAGTTCGATGCAAATAAAAGTGCAAAAAAGTAGTTTGTACTGCATCAGTAGTTAAAAAAAAAAGAGGAATAAAAAAGAACAAAAAAAGATATTGTAAATCATACTGCAGGGATAAAAAGTAAATTATATATAAAAGGTAAACCATTATGGCCTTATTGTGTCCACATGTATTTGTTAAATGAACAAGATATTAGACAGTCAGTTTAATACTAAGCATATTTCATGGTGACAAACGTCAACATGTGCTTCTGACATTCCAGTATAAACCACAATTTCCGCCTTGCCTGAATCGTGTTGTTGTCATAACTCTAGTCAGTTATCTTATTAAATAACACATACAAGTAATCAGATAGTAAATTGCAGTGTTTGTGTGTGTGTGTTGATGTAACAAAGTAATAGTATTTTATAACACTTTCTCTTGGTTTAGTTTGCTGCAAACTTCCTAATCTGGTTGTGTCAGCAAAAGAATATTTTTTGGATGTTTTTTTTTGTGCATATATAATTTTTATTATTATTATTCAAGGATAATCTGTAAGAGTTGAAAGTTTTTATTAATTTTAAAAGTTTAATAATTAATCAGGTTTTTTTTTGTGTTACATTTTTGTGATGACTTGAGATTTATAGTTGAAGCTTTCCTACTTTTTTTTTTTTTTTTTTTTTTTTAACTTCTTACCAGTAATCAGTTAGCCTTAGTTCTGAAAACCACCTAATTCACATCGTTTGAGCTTTGGTTTGTTTATTTCGTATAGTATCTATGTGATAATTTTTGTTAAGTCTTTAAAAGTTTTTAGTACAACAATAATAAAAAAAAAAAGGGGTTTACCTTTCAGAAAAATTTGTAAGAATCATTGCTGTTCTTTTATTTAAAAGAAAAAGTTTAAAGAACTTACATTTATAGGTTATATTAGTTCTTAAACAAAATGAGTAACATATATAAATGTATGTGTATGACATGAATACATACATAGTTTTAAATGAAGTGAAATGATACCTTAATTTGTTATTATTGATAGTGACATTGTGTATTGTTTGAAGCCAAGAATCTAACAACATTTGTAACTACCATAACTTGTTTGTGCCATGAAATTTAATGTTTAGTTGTTTTTATTTGGGTACAGTTTAAACTACATATAGAGCACAGTAACTTATTGTTATTTTTAGGTTGAAATTCAGTGGAAAAATGTCTATGGCACTATGCTCTACATTGTATCATGTAATTTTTTTTATGAGTACTTAATTGCCAAGGTATGTAAATTGGTCAGTACATGTGTAGGCTTTTGTGTATTTTCATCCTTTGTTTATGAAAGGAAGCAAAAGCTACTCAAAATGTCACCAAGTTCATATACCACAGCATTTTGAAGCCCATTGGAACTATAATGTTGTTTTAAGCTTATGTTGGTACTGGTATGTTCCTCATAAAAATGTTTGTTTTTTTCCAGCGATGTTGGGACAATTGTTTTCCTTTGAATACATCAGAGACCAGTATTAAAGTATGTCTAGTATTATTCAGTGAACTACTATCTTAAAGTGTTATGTATCAGCCTTCATTGGTTTACTGCTTCAATAAGTCAACTCAATATTCTGTCGTACATCTCTCTTAATCTTGAATTTTTTTTTTTAAATTGTTTGATCTTGTCATTCCCAGTAATTGTTTTCAGTGTCTACCTGTACAGTATCACAGATATTGTTATTGACATAAGCATTTTCCACAAAACTTTATAAGTTAAATACACCTTAGTTTGTTGCATCAGCACAGTAGGATTTAAAATATATATATATATATGTAAAGGAATGGCATATCATAGTGTATTATTGTTTCATCTAGTCTCTTTTAAATAATCATTCATACTACAAACACACATTGTACATAAGTAGAAGTAAACAGTTTAAAGACTGAAAGGTTTTGCATGGGAATACTTTGCTTAAAGACTGTTAAAGACAAATACAATGTAAGGTATTTCCAGATGTTACATCAGCTGTCAACATTATTTTATACACAGTTGACAAATACACTAAGGTTCACTTAACTTGTTTGTGATTTTAATTTTGATTAACAGCAAATATTTTTTAAAAAGTTGTTTAACTCAGCCTTTCTTTACAAATAACTTGTCTGTCAGGGTACCCAGTACAATATATTACAACTTTGAAGCAAAATTGTAAATTGTCTACCCACGGTTACTCTTTATAATTATTAATTTTGTTATATAGCTATAACATTTCTGCTTCTTTTTTTTTTAACATACCAGTCTAACAAAAGCTTGTAACCAGCATTTGTTTTTGTTTAGTAAAACTAGTAAAGAAAGTTCAGAATTTATAATACATATAAAAGTAATTTTTTTTTAAACATTGTTAACTATACAATTTTTTAACTTCTAAATGTTGAATATTGGTAAGAAGCACAGTATATAGGCTCTTATCCAACTTGTCTTCCCCTTTTTAGAGATTAAAACCACATTGACAGTTTTATAAAACATATAAAAGTACAATTAAACCATATTAATATTACTTTCCTAACTGGAATCATATTGTTTTTGTTACATGTACTCATTTTATACATACTTTAATATTATGTAATGTCCAGTTATATTTAGAATAAACATAATTAGAAATTTGATATAAAGTTGCATAAGTTAGAAACGTTTCTGATTGTTCTTTTTTAACTTTTCAATTTAAAGGAGGAAAAAGACTAGTCTGGATTTTTTTTTATTTTTGCTGCTGCTGCTGGCCAAGAATTGTATGCGTATATAAACAGGAGTGCAGCTTTTTATTAACACCAGAATTATCTTACTGGAAGTTATCAGACTTTATTGGTTCTAGTTTTCTTTTGGCTATGCAATATTCTTTTCCCATAATGCCCTGACAGTTGGCTGACTCTGACTTTCTCTTTAATAAAAAATGCATTTTGTTTGAGTGTCATGTATTTTGCAAAAAAAGCAATATATGAATGACTATTTTAACTTAATACGAATGTTTTAAGACCTTAAATGCCAACTGACAGTGGTCACAGGGTTAAATAAACAAGTCAACTTTCCTTATGGTTTACAATTTTGAGAATCCCTTTACGTGTTTACGTAGGCACCAGGATATTTTAGGTGCTGTTTTACAAAATGGTAATATCTGTTAAAATGGGGGAAAGCTATTGCTGATCCTGTAAACTGATAATTTTTAAGCTGGTTTAAATTTGGTGCCTAGAAATCCTATTATCTTATTGAGAAACAGTGTTGGTACAAAACACTTTGATCCCCTGGAGCTATCCTACCCACATAAATGGAACACTTGGGGTCCATTAAGTTACACTGTGGACTTGTTGGATGTAAGGGGCATTGTACTTTGATGTGAAGTGAAAGTATTATAATAGAAGATCCCTTTTAATAAAAATATTATGGATTTGTAATAGTTATATATTAGAGGCTGTGGAAGTACAGAAGTTCATCTAGTTTATACAAGACGTGTGAGGTTACTAGGCAAAAAAAAAGTCCTCTTCATTTGCAGGAAATAAAGAAACTTGATGGTTATTTGCATGGTACATCAGCGTGTTTCTTACTGTGAAGGGCCTGATTGCAAAGTGTTGTGTGTGTGTGTGAATAAAATATATATTTATAGACACACACACACCAAGGTAAAAATGTTGGTAGTACAGCAGCAGGGTTTCAAACAACTTATATTGCATTTACTTGTACTATTTTTTGAAGACATTACATGGATATGATTTGTAATGAAGTTTGATGTTTATTCCAATAAAGGCAGTTGTATTCATTGTTCATTTCAGAATTTATTCAGTTCTTTTTCTTTGGGCTTAATTTCCTCAAATAGATTATTTATCAGGAAACAACAATCACATCATAATGACAACTCTGCTATGAGTGTATCTGAACTATTATAATGGGTTGTCTACATTCAAAATATTTTTCTTAATGTTTTTGAACTCATCCAGAAATGGATGTAGTTCTTTAAAAAACTGCCTTATTTTGATTACATGAAATTTTGTTTAAGAATTATATAACTAGAGCACTACCAGCCATATTAAGTGGTATTTCAGTAATTGTGAATTTTGTTATAACTTACAATAGAAAAGGAAGTATTGAGTAATCCGGTTACAGCATACCTCTAAATACACATTGAGGCTTAGGCTCACATTACAAGATCTTTTAAAATGCTGTTCATAATTTTTACTGACTGCTTGTTGTGAAAATTTGTAAAGACTGAACAGGTAAATCCAAGAGAAATCAGGTTCTTTATTAAGAGTAATTACAACAGAAAATAACTTATTAGCAAGTTTATACATTAAAAAAAATTCAGGTATAGTTTATGAATTATAAATAGTTCTAAAACATCTCTAAATGTAATACTTCGTATCATAAATATCCAAGGAGAAATTAACTAAAGATAAAAAAAAAAATTATTATTGACATATAAACCCATTTAACAACAATTTTTAAGCCAGGTATCCATTGTATAAAAGTAGATACAGGCTATGTGAGAAACATTTGCCCATGAATGGGTATTATATTAAATGATCTTGGTAACCAAGTGTTTGGTGGCCTTATAAATTGTAAAAACTGTGGTCAGGGTGTGGTTTTGAAACATTTTCTGATTGAAAAAGGAAAAACAAAATCACTTTTTTATCCACATAACATCAGAAATAAATTATAAACCTTGCATAGACTAGTAAGTAACATTTAATATATATTAAATCAAGCCAGCTGGTGAAAGTTTTTCCACAGTACTTGTTATTTAAAAAATAATAATTACCAAGGCCAGCAAGGATCAGAACAATATTGTAAGTATGTCTCCATTTTGTTGATATTTACTTGCATCAGTGCAGTGTAAGTCGTCAGCTGAAAAAACAAATAAAAATATAGTTGCAGGCCTTACATATCCTATGCTTTCATAATTATTACACTGTTGCTCACATCCTAGTTTACTTGGCTATCCTGTACGTGGAGATCACTTTTTTTTTCTTTTTTTTTTTTTGTGTGCTCATCTTTCATTATTTAACATATTAGTTCACTGTTTTTGGCTTAAAAACAAATGCTTAAAGTAGAACTTTAAAAGTGACTACTTCCAATTTTAGGGAGTACTCGGGGTATGTAAAATATGTTACATACCCTGTTGGACATGAGAGCAGATGAAAATTTCTTTATCACATATTTAAATAATGTGCATTTGATGTTTAGCAATTATAGGAATTATTTTTTTCATAAACCTTCTTTGTATAAGAATGTGTGTCTTACAGAAGAATACAAAATGCCATCTTCTAGTACTGGTGAATCACCTGCACAAATTTAACCAAAGAGTCAATAGTAACTGATACCAGCACTTCTTCAAATTGGACAGCTACAACTAAAATTACGGTTTACAACTGTGGTACAAAGTATTTGGAACAGTAGCTATTTTTTGATATTGAATGTCTGCTTCAGGGATATAGATACACTAATTTAATAGAAACCTGTCAACTAAAAATAGTTTGGGCATGTACGATTTGTTAGTTTTAGCACAAAGCTACACAGTAGGTGATTAGACAGTGTCTACCACTAGGATCAAACTCAAAAGCATACTGCTGAGTGGGGTATTCTAATAGAGATTGTAAAGACTTCAACTTTTTACTCCCTCTTTTATCCCATTTATCAATATTGCATACACTGGTGATGTGACACAAGATTTAATAGAATTCTGTCTCGCTGTTAAATATATTCTAAAATGGTAACTGACCAAGTGACAGTAGAAATAACTAGATTAATATTTCAGCAGAAAACTAACACTTCACAAGTAGTAACTGGGAATTTATTTTTCAGAAAATAGATGTTAGTGACCTTGGCATCTTCATAGTTTTCCTTATCGAAACAAACCCTTGGTATCGTGTAAGTGACCCCCAACAGTACTGTGTATCAACTTAATTGTTGCACTAGAATACAGAGAATGAGCCCCCACCGGGAACTCAGTGAAGTTTGTATTTTAAGTAGCCTATACCCAAGTGAATTTCTACAGCAAGAAGAAGCAGTAAAATACAATTTCATATACTTTCTCTGGCATAAAGAAATAAAATTAAAACTGCTATTTGTAGAGGTATAATGTTCACAAAAAAGAAAATTTGTTATTATTAAAATATTTGAAAAATATGCTTGAAACTTATTAAAAGTGCTCCCCTTTCAAACTCTCAAAATATATTAATGTATGAGATAGAAACTTGTAACCTTACCTTGTTAAGGTTTGGCTGGGTTGATAGTAAATTGAATAATCCACTAACAGAAGCATTCTAATTAGATCAAAAGAAAAACATAATTGTACATATTAACTATATGTTACTTGTTAGTAGTGACATAACTTTTTTTTCTTGCAACAAAAAATATAACCACCAAGCAAGAATATATGAGAAAGCTTTTATACTGAGTGCAAAATAAAACGTTTCTGATAAGAATCATACATAAAAACGTTATAAACAACACTGATTTCATTATACTTGGTTTATGGTTCAATACTACAGTCCTTTGGAAAAGTGTTTTGATAATGTACCAACAGGCCTATGCTTTATTTTTAATATGAAGAGATCACTTGTTTTTAAAGTCCAGTACTCATTCCACAGTTATGTTTTAATTGCACTGAAAAAACAGTACTTTGACCATGCAAGAAAAACTGGACCATTTTTGCTACTGTTGTATTTTCAAGGTTACTAAGCAACTGTTTACCAAGATTACCCGAGAAAGTAAGGCTTATTCACAATGAGGGAAGAAAAAATTGTCAAGCAACTTAACTTTTGGCATGTATGCAGTTACTGATTGTTAGTAACAATATTTTCATCACTAACTGGAGAAGATAGAAAAGAAAACAATTCCACCATCAACTTACAATTCCTTACACACCTTCAGACAACCAACTGATTAACCTTAAATCACTTGTTTCATTAAACCATCAGATGCTGGTTTTACCCACCTTCTGACCCATCTGGTTTAGACATTTGATTGCTGGAGTTCGACGATCATCAAAAAAAGGTGGTTTTTTCCAGTGGTCGTAGTTGGTTTCCAATATAAACCATTCATTACCAGAATCAGCCATTGTCCAGATGTCAGCATCGGTATTTGATCCTCGGTCACGTGTTATCACACAGGCCTTTTAAGAAATTTGAAATAAATCCAACTGAGAAGAAACATTATGCAAAGAATGTTTTACAGATATTCTCTAATTCAAAAGGTGGCCTTTATGCTTAACCAGTTTTCAACATATTTGTGAAATCTTTCTGTATTCAAATTGAACAGTATAATGCCATGTAAAACAATTTTTTCTGAAAATTATTTCTTATTAAATAATTTATTTCTGTTTTTGATATAGCGTAAAGATTTATTTTTAAACAGGAAGCAAAGAATTTCATTCTCCCAGAAGTGGGTGGTGGAGGTTACTAGCATAAATCATTACAACAGAAGTTACTCAAAAATTTGTATCAAAATCATTTTCCATTTTGTACGTTAGTTGTATGGATATTTAATTTTATTCATATGGAGTGATGTGGCCATTCATTAAAATTATTTTAAGATCTTAACAAAGTCATTGATCAGATCATATTGACTTCACATGTATTATAGTTTTAAAATCTAACAAGCCCTTCAGGGCTGGTTATACAACCAGGGGCACTCAGAAACTTCAGTTTCTCTTCACTCCGCTCACTTGGGTTAGTGATGAACACAGCCTTCATATAAAAGAGAGCTTGCTTATTCACAAACTGAGGTTAGAACTCAATCAGGTTAGTTCAGCATGTAAATTGTTACTTACTTGATAACTTGAAAATGTAAACTACATATCTGATAAACAGAAACATTATGATGAAAAGTTATTATTTTCATTTCATTATGAAGCAAATATAGTTTTGTACTATTTGTATTGTAACCTCCTAAAATAGGATGACCACATTCTTCCCTAAATTTTCCCAACTTTCGGGGCAAAATTCTAAGTTTTTCAGACATGTGTACATGACAACACTGATATTTTAGCTTTTAATCAAACTTCCACATAACTAACACTACTTTATATAGCTTATAACTTAGTTATAAAAACTTAAGTACACACATACTTCAGGTTATGATACAACAGAAAAAATCTGCAAACAAGGGCATTGAAACTTGATGATAAACAATCAAATTTTACATTTTATTTATAATAGTGTTACATATGTGCACCAGGATATTTTAGGTGCTGTTTTACAAAATGGTAACATCTGTTAAAATGGGGAAAAGCTATTGCTGATCCTGTAAACTGATAGTTTTTAAGCTGGTTTAAATTTGGTGCCTAGAAATCCTATTATCTTATTGAGAACTTTTAGTAATACACAGAATTTCCACAGTCACTTTAACTACTTTTATAAACACACGCTATAATTCACAGCGATTCACACACTTTATTTACGGTGCCTACTGTTCGCTTGACTCAAATTATCTATATCTCTGATCTACCTATCTCCGACTTTTTGCTGGTTTTTCTCGCCAGGCTTATATACTAAAAAAGAGTGCGTCTGGCAAACACTAGGACATTTGCGTAGTTCCTTGATAATTCAAGATCCTTCCAGAAACTCCAGCACGCATGCTCCCAGCATCGCGTGACTCCGCTGTCGTAACAATAGCATATTTGATCTAACCTGTAATTGAATTAGATAATTATCAACTTATAAAGTTTCTGACCAAGAATATGTTAAAATATAACAATAACTGTCATAGCTAAGCAGCAGTGTTGTTTTTAGACAGTTATTAAATTTTAACCAATTTTGTTTTTGTTTTTTATATATTCCCAACTTTCCAGTTTTGTGAATACCCTGAAAGCAACAAAATAATGATCCTTACTTCTCCAGATTTGTTTCCACCCAGAATAAAATAAGCAGGAGCAAGAAGCTTTGTAGTTGCCAGCATTTTCTGAGCCACTGTGTAGCTGGTGGCATTTTCCATTACTTGTCGGGTCAGAAATCCCATCCACGTAGTTGAATGATCACCTAATAACCACTCAATTATTCCTGCAACAGAAAAGCTGTATTTTAGATATTGAGAATAGATTAATTTACAAAATTTTGTTGCAGAAAACTTTGTTACACCAAATCCAATAATTCTAAGCAAACTAACAAAATTTATTTTAAAGTATATAGTACTCCCTGGAAAACGTTTTAGATAAAGTAATATAACAGTACAATGTATCAAGTTGGAGAAAAAAATAGACAAAAATTTAAAACTACCATAAGAAGAAAAATAAACTTTAGTACTCCAATGGTAATAATTTGGTCAAATATTTAACCATTTTTTATTTCTAACAATTTTATTACACTAATTACATTTTTGTTCTTCATATTTAACCAACTCCAAGGTATATAAATAATAACTCAAATTAGCTGTTCATAAACAATTTGACCTATAACTTCAGTTTTGTGCACAGCAGTATATTCAGCCTCATATCATACAGTTAAGGTCTATCTAAGACATATTTAGCCTGTGGACCTCTGATAGACCTTATGGTATTTATATTACAGATTTCATAAAATATTTCATATCCTTACAAGAAAACTTTATTGTCTTTACCTTAGATTACTAAATAATTCACTCTTTACAAATTAACCAGTGTAACTAATTGCTTTTAGAATTGTTTATTATGGCAGGCTAACATGCCTTACCATAAGTACATGTAGACCACCATTTATTAAGTCTTTTTTTTTTTTGGCTCCTGATTATTAAATCCATAATTCATTTCAATCAGTCAAAAATCAAATAGTTCCTACACAAAAGCTTCATTTCTCACATTTATTTACCTTTTTCACACACTTTCAAAACCTACCAATAAATCCACCATTTAGGTTGAACCTTTCATCCATTGTGAGTGAAAACAAGTTCTAAAAGAAAAACAGTTTGAAGCTTACTGATCACACGACAGATATAAATTTTCCAAATATAATTCACTACAAAATTTTAATTATGTTATGAATATCTTTTTTTTTCATACTTTCTATTCACAAGATAGTTTAAAGTAGTTGAAATGTTAAATTGTTACTTAGGTGATAAAAAATGTATTTCTGCATTTTTGGTGGCTAACTAGTTCTGTCAGTTAACAAATTTTGTTGGCATTTGTTTACTGTGCAATCTACAATTACTGTTTTCATACATACCAATGAATGAAATACAGGGTGTCCATAAGTTATCTGACTCTTTTTAAAAATTAATAACATTGAAAATATTAGATAGAACATTCTGGTTTTATTTAATTTGATAAACAACTCGGGTTTTTTCTTCTCTTAGTATACTTCCACATGTGCACCATTTGTTGCTTGAAGAACATCTGGGTGATACTCAGGTGTTGTTCAGCATCACAGGAGTCACATTCCTTATTGCACTGATTATTCTGTGGCAAAGATCCACGATATCACACACTGGTGTCGAATATACTAGATCTTTTGCAACCCCCCACAAGCAAAAATTCAATGGGGTTATGTCAGGAGAATGTGTGGTCCATCGTGTTGATCCATCTCATCTTTGGGACACTAAAATTGGGGGGGGGGGATAACGAGTCCCTTTAAAATTACACATCTTGTTTTGCCTCTCAAAATTTTGGCTTGCCCCCTAATTTTTGGTGCTGGTGCTGCCACTGTGTATTACAATAAACATATATGAGGGCAATGATGAGACTCAAAAGAGGAGGAGGATTGTAAAAACCAGGAAACGAACTAGGATAAAATCCCACACTAAATAAACAAGTATAACTAGTAAATTTCCCTTAGCAAGTTGACCAGTTATATTAGTCCTACAGCAGTCTTTGTAGTACAACTTTATGGCAAAATCAGAGCTGATATGTCACAAGTCCTAAACTGAAGTTAACACAAGAAGTTTTGATACTGATGCCAAGGATACAGTCTTGTCATTATTGTTTTTTCTACTATGGACAGAGAGATACATATGATGTTCAAAACTTTCAGTTTCTAAAAGCTACTTAACATTATATGAACCACCAAAAACTTAATTTGTTCTATAGTACTATCATTAAGCAACAAAAAAATCAGTGATATAATGTCTTTATGATAATCGTTTTTCATTTTTTCCTCTGTAGTACTGCTTTAGAGGAAGAGGTCATCCAAAATAAAAGTATCTGTTAAGCTTTATATTTTATAGCTAATGAGAAAGAATTAAAGAATAATAATTATGTTTTATGCTTCAAACAAAATAACACAGAAAAATTAGCTTTTGTTTTAAATATAATTATTTTATTTCGGGCTATTATTTACTAAGCATAAAAATAATTTCATACAACATAACATTTGTACATAAAACAGAGTTTAATTTAAAAACAATTGTATTAAAATAAATATTTTTTTTTCACCATATTCAAAATATGAAGAAACTGTGGAATTGTTTTATACAAATAGGTATAATGGTTTAAGTTCAATGTTACTTGAGATGAAGCCCTTGTACAGCTTAGCTGGATCTAATCATACAGTCTGTTGGTTGAGATCTCAATCACACTTATTAAAATAACAATATTAATAATAACCTTAGGTAATTAAAATATATTAAAACCAGCTGCACAGCTAACAACATTAACTGGCCATGGAGTAAACTAAATTATCATAAAACTGCTTACTGGCTTCATAGCTGTAAGGATTCCGACATATCCTACAAAGTTGACTCCACGGAATAAAGTTTTTCCTTGGCGCTGGTAGTCTAGCTCCACAACAATTGGTCGAAGTGCTTCTGTAACCAACCATGTATGGTTCATAAAGTCCCAACTGGAAGGTAAAAGTTATTGAAACTGTTTATTATAATTACCTAGCAGACAACTGTGAAATACAGTTTAACACTTAAAGACATTTTTGGCCAATTTTCTTTTTATCTACAACATTTAAATTGCATCAAACTTTTGAAATTTATATTCTAGAAGCCTTAAAAAGACTTCAACACAAAGTTGTAATTAGGGTGAAAGTATATGGATATTCTGAAGCAATTTATTTACAAGTAAAAATAATTGTCCATATTAAAATAATAATACTGTTTCCAGTTATACAAGTTTCTTGGAACACTTGTTAGATCAAGTACACTACAAAAAAATTAATAAATTGTAAACATGTATTTTTTCTGTCAAGACTAAGGTTTGTTATGAATAATTTTCTTATCTAAAATTAAAATTTCAGCATTTTCATAAGTGCACATTAGGGGTAATATCTAACATAGTTTTGTCGAAATATACAAAATGCTGACTGAATCTGATATTGCCCTCCAATGGCAATGATACAAAGAATCCTGCAAGAAAGAAATTGAAGCAACTATGAACACAGAGAGCATACTTGAATGGTGCAGTAACTACCACAGTCACTCACAAACAACCTGTATCCAAATTTTATTAATGTGTATTCACAGTTCATGCACTGGAGTTGCTGAATTGTTTTGAATATTGAGAGAAGGTGCAAATAAAATGAAAAAATTCACATTGGATTTAGCTCTTTAATAAGATTCCTGAAGAAACACAAGTTACAGCAATCTTTGTTGTGGAACTTTATGGCACAGTCAAAGCTGATATGTCACAAATCCTAAACTGAAGTTAACAGGTAGTATTGATACTGATACCAGAGGCACAGTATTCTGAGTTTTTTCTAACATGGACAGAAAATATGAGGTTTAAAATTCTTTTTCAGTTTTTAAAAGCAATTAAATATTACATGGACCACAAAAACTTAACAATTTGTTCTATAAAATTGCCATTAAAGATTAAAAAAATCAGTGATTTATTGTCTATGATTTTCGTTTTTGGAGGATAGAGGAGGAGATAATCCAAAAGAGTAGTCTCCTGTATGTTTATAAAAATGCTGAAGATTTTTTATCACCTAGGTCTAAATGATTAACTAGTTACTAATAGTTAATTATAATCTAGATCATGATTAACTAGTTACTAATTACTGACTAGTTTTTATTCTGTGTTTCAGCTAATAAACTGCTGCCAGTTTCAGGAAAATCCTGAGTATAAGTATTTCTGTGCTTATAGCGGCCAGATTACAGTCTCAGCTTTTCAAAATAGAAAGATTCACCCCCTACTCCCACACACACCCATCTTTCTTTACCTGTGAGATTGTTTTACATGTTAATAGTGATATTATATCCTCAATATACCTAGCTAATTGGTAATATGGTGAATCTCTACAGTTAGCTATAGGATAGAGAGAGTAGCTTTGCTTGAGAATTTTAGGTAGACCACAGATTTGTAGAGTGGTGTTTTTGTGTACTGTTTACTTGACTGTTTCTGTTCCAAGTTATTTCTCATGTTTCTTCAGGAGTTTGTTAATATTCCTTTTTTAACAGTTGGGTCAGACTTAACCTAGATGTGACAGCCCTCTTCAACAAGAGTTTGGAGTTAGATAGATTACTATTCCTTTTTTGCCCATGACTACAGTGGAATTACGTTGTCTGCTGGTAGAATTGTTATGGTGTCTCTTCAAGTTTGTGAGAGCAGTTTTTTCTGATATGGTGATATTATAGTGGGGTTTACATTTCATGGCTTTCTGTATTGGTGACTGTTCTGATTCTGAATTCTTTTCCTTCTCCTGAAGATTGTAGAAGATTAGCAGTCAAAATGTAGGATAAAACTAGTTATTAATTTTTACCTAACAAACAAAATTATATCATTAAATAATTAATAGTTAGGTGATCATGTTAACCACCACAATATTATCATGAATACTTAACAATATTTTTGATAGATTATAATAACATCAGGACTAACCAAATGTAATTCATAAGACAACTGTTATCAAATCAAAAACATCTAACAATACACACCCCAAAAATAGGCCAAAGTCCAGGTTTCTGGCATGATACAGTACTCCTGAAAACAAAGTGCCCCATGTCAATCAGTACAAACTGTTATAGATAACTGTTAAAAATAACTCTGACATTGTTAGTGATAGTCACTAATACAATACAGATAAAAACAAAGTTCAAGGCTACATCTTGACAAATTATATTTAAACAAAAGTAACTAAGATTTTTCATTAATGTTTTTTTATTACTTTGATGATAGGCTAGCTTATTCTCATCAAGAACAATCAACAGCCACCTTTACAAAGAAATCTGTAAATCAAGATGATTTTTTTTTAATTGACTGTATTTTATAAGCTTAGGAATGGAAAGCATTCAGGTACAAAGTAATAGTTTGGAAGTAAGTTTTGGAATCTTTAATAAAATATATGTCACATTACTAAGAATGTGAATTTCACTACTTAAAATGCAAAAGTGAAATGTAAGTTAAGCCTATTTCATACTTGCTAATGTAGCACAAGATTTACAAAAATGAAATTGAAGTTAAGCCTATTTCATACCTGCTAATGTTGCATGACATTTCTATAGTGCATCTCTGATTGTGTTATGAACCACAATTTAAAACAAAAACTCTTTTTAAAAGGATATTTCACATAGTTGTAGTTATAAAAAACAAAAATGGGCCTACCTGATGTATCCTCTACAATCACAGAAGTGCAAACAGTGAAGATTTCATAAAAGAGGTTAAATAAGGCAACCTCACCTAAGAGGAGAAAACATGGAACTGAAAGTTACTCAAAAAATAAAAGATGAATTTGTAGTACCTTAAAAACTACCTAAGGATTTTTAAACAGTGAAAACTTTTATTAGTGGAACTACATTTAAACATACTTAAATGTAAATGAAACATATCATAAAAAAAGGAGTTTAGTAAAATAACAACATTAAAATCCAGTATAGTTAAACAGTGAGAAACTGAAATGTCTTTTCCACAATTCTGAATAATGTAGCAAAACATTAACATTAACCAGCTGGCATACATTTTATTTAAATAATATGAATATTCAAGAATCGCTGGTTACAACTGAATAAACAGTAAAGAGGAAAACTAAACATTTTATAACTGTTTAAATTATTGAGTAAAGACTAAATGAAATACATATAGTTTCAAATATTCTGTTCAATCAAACAAGTGTACACTTGGCTAATGGTTTGCAATTTTTTTTTTATTAACACACTTGAAACTGATGGTAAGCAATACATTTTATGTGGTTTCAAATTACATCAGAATTGGCAATTTCCCCAGTGTTAAAGTCGCTACAGCTGTCAGTGGGTTGTAAAAAACAGAGAAAAAGGTAGTTAAGAGTTTATCAGTACCAATGATGTCAAAAAGATTCACAATTATCAGTTTATTATTGGTAAGAGTAAACAAACATGCTGACTGAAATAGAATTTAACATAAGATTAACTTTTTAGGGGGAGATTTTTCTTCTTCACTTGGAGAATACTACACGAGTATTCAATGATGATAAAATACAAATGTCTTGTAATTCAACAAGTGTTTCCATATATGACAGTGTATATACATGGTTTGTGTTTTAAATCATTATTCAAATACTGAAACAGTGTATACATGGTTTGTGTTTTAAATCATTATTCAAATACTGGCACAGTATATACATGGTTTGTGTTTTAAATCATTATTCAAATACTGGAACAGTGTATACATGGTTTGTGTTTTAAATCATTATTCAAATACTGACACGGTATATACATGGTTTGTGTTTTAAATCATTATTCAAATGCTGACACGGTATATACATGGTTTGTGTTTTAAATCATTATTCAAATG